GGGTGCTGAGTCGAATGATCTTGGTCCGAGAAAGCTGAGACGCTCCCTCCCTACTTGAATCCCAATCGAACTCGCGCACTTCCACTGAAACTGGGTGACTGCGCCCTACTAGAAGGGGATTTGTATGCAAAATGTCACTAAAAGCGCCATTTCGTTCTTATAAAAGCACGGATGACCGCGATTGGCCCATATGTTGTAGTCTTTTGGACGCTGAGTTGGACGCTGAGTCGACTGCCATGGCCAGCAATCAAGGACATCTGAGAGTTGTAATTTTTGTACTCCTCCGAGGTGTGATTTTTGGCGTGCTGGGCCAAGCACAAGGATGCCAACTGCAAAAAAACTGCAGAAAATCGTTGTTGTTTGATCCTTTGGTGTAATCTTTGTTTCTAGTCGAAGCTGGTTGCTGTTTGGAGCAGAAACGCTGAAATTTACTATTTTCTGCATGTACTCATACATGTACTCATGTACTCAGGCATGCAGTCTCACTCGTATTTTAGCTATTTTTCTGGAATGGATGCTGCTCTGCGCCCCTTGGTGAACATTTCCTGCGCTCGTGGAGCAGCTGAAAAGGACCACTGGTATGTCTGGTTCCTGGTTTGAAAGTGGAGAGTCGACTTTTGTGCCTTGAAAAAGGAGTAGAGAGCGATAAAGGTACGTCTGTGGCTGATTTTTGAGTGCTCCTCGTACATTTTTGATCGTGATAGAAATTCTCAGACCAAAGTCAGACCAAAGTCAGCGCGATGATGGTCGTACAGTTTTCTTGTGAATTTTTTAGTTGTTTCATCTCGTATCTATGTCAGTATCGTGATGGTGAAGTGGAGAGGGTGATTTTCTTCCTCTAGGCTTCGTTCGGCCGACTTTGCTTCGTCCTCGTTGAAAAGTGATCCTGAAAAAAAGGTCGATTCGCAAAATTATGTTGATTTTCAATGTACGAGATGACATGCGATTGCTGGCTATGGTTTTGGTCCGAAAATGCTGAGATGCAGCGTTCCTCCTTTATTCCCAATCGAATATGGTTGAACAAGCGGTCACGTGCTCCTGCGTACACCAGTCACCTGGTCACCATGCCTGCAGGGTACAACTTACTAGCCTGTTTGACCTTTTTTGGGTGCAGTCTTGTCACTCGAGTTGAACTCGAGTTGAACCTTGGTGTGAAAGTTGTCGCCTGCTGGCGTGGTGACCAGGTGATTTGGGCACCCAGGAGCACGTGACCGCTTGTTCAACCACGTTCGATTGGGAATAAGGGCCGAACGCTGCATCGCAGCCTTTTCGGACCAAAACCAGTCGACTCAGCGTCCAAAAGACTACAACATATGGGCCAATCGCGGTCATCCATACTTTTATAAGAACGAAATGGCGCTTTTAGTGACATTTTGCATACAAATCCCCATCTAGTAGGGCGCAGTCACCCAGTTTCGGTGGAAGTGCGCGAGTTCGATTGGGATTCAAGTAGGAAGGGAGCGTCTCAGCCTTCTCGGACCAAGACCATTCAACTTAGCACCCGAAGACTACAACTGGTGAAATTTTGATTTTGCCTTAACTTCCCCTTTAAGCATCTAATTACGCATCTATGAGTGAAAAACCTGCTGGGAGAGAACGCGTGTACTCGAGTCTCATCCCGAGCACCTTTTTTCTTCTTTTTTCCGGCTCCAGTATAGCTGTATGTTTCATTGCAAAGCCGTCCTCGATTGTTGTGTTCATTGTTCAAACGAAGTGGACATTCAATCAAGAAGGCAGAGGACATAGGAGCCTGATTGGAGTTTCTCGTGGCATAGGACGGCCACACAGTGAGTCAGAGACACTTTGCGATTTTCTGAATAAAAAATACCGTACACACGATGTGCGATATCAAAATTGTTTGTGATCCACCACATTGAGCAGAACGCGATCCAAACACAAGCTTACCGACGGTTAGGCTGCCGACCTGACTGGACAAATGATCCCTGGCTTCACCAGACGCCAGAAGTCGGAAACCATGTCCTTTGCCACGACGTCCATCTCCAAAGAGAACTCCATCTTCGTCGTGAAAAGGCTTGAAATACTCCATATTCAACGGAGATTCGCGGTCTCACGCTTTCTCAGATCGAATCATTTTTTGTTGTAGCAGTTGCAGGGCAGATCCCCGGCACTACTTCAACAGCTACCCCTCTCAGGAAGAAATTAGAAATTTCAATGGTGGAAGGTAACAGAATTTCAAAAGGTATGGTTCGCGGCGCGATCGTTCTACCTACGTCATTCAAACTTTGCAGAATGGTTCTGACCTACACGGTAGGCATGGAACCACAGGGTTTGATGCCATAGCTGACACACTGAGTCACACACACACAGCACATTCGTGTGCGCAGATACTGAATTAGTGGACGTCGTCATCTTCTTCCCGCTGGTCTCAAATGTACGATGACGTGCTATTTCGCCTGACGGGCTAACGCCCCCTCTTTTTCATTGGCTTCTGCCATTGGACGGTGAAATAAAATAAAATAAAATAAATACTACGATGGTCAAATTTAACCATGATCGGGCTACAGGTACAGTGGAACTGTGGTAAGACAAAGCCCCATGGGCAGCGTAGCACCGACGTTGGAGGTGGTATAGCCGGAGGGGGTCGGGGGGTCTTCCCCGGGGAATTTTAGAAATTAGGGTGCAACATTCTGAATTCTGGGCACGTTCGGGCATTGTGTTTAAAAAAATGGTCCGGCCGAAGCCGGACCGGCTGCTACGCCCCTGGATGTGCACTCGGTATCCAAGGTCTGTCGTATCCTAATGCTGTGTACGTGATGTGATAAGGCATGCATGCGCGCCTGGGCTCGTGGCTGGTTGTGCATGCTTGCTGTGCTGGACTAGGTCCGAGAATGTGAGCTCTCTTTTCCTTGTCTTTCTGTTCCTTGATTATTACAATAACTGTACGAACCTGAGTAATGCTGTGTGTGGGCCCTTAGGGCCAGAGAACCTGAGTAATGCTGTGTGTGGGCCCTTAGGGCCAGAGAACCTGAGTAATGCTGTGTGTGGGCCCTTAGGGCCAGAGAACCTGAGTAATGCTGTGTGTGGGCCCTTAGGGCCAGAGAACCTGAGTAATGCTGTGTGTGGGCCCTTAGGGCCAGAGAACCTGAGTAATGCTGTGTGTGGGCCCTTAGGGCCAGACAGAACATCTAATAAACCTCAGCGCTGCAGTACTACGCGACCGCCCGCCGACTGCTTCGCAGCAAAGGGCCACACACACGCTGCTTACTGCCAAGTGTGCATTTCCTCGTGTTCATCCACGTGCAACTTGTGCTCAACAGATCACCTCTTTGTTATTGAGTACATCTGCTTGTTTGGTCACTGTGAATTAAAATAAAATAAAACAACATCAACACTGCTTTATGTCTCACCTCTTAGTAGCAACATCTTCTTGCACTCGGCCGGATCCAAACCATCCTGGTCGTCAGCACTTGACATTGGCGACACAGGAGAGGGCATGAGCAGTGACGAGGAAGACGGCGACGGCGGAGTCTTGGACGCGCTGCTCAGATTGTCCCTGTGTGCCGCGTGCTGCTGCACGGCGAACGAGGAGTTGTTGCCACCTAGACACACCAGTGGGGGCGTGTGCGACGACGACGACAGCGGCGAGTCGGCTCGCTGGTTGCCCCCGGCGATGATGGCCGCGTTGGTTGTGGGCGTCTTGCTGAGCTGGCTCCCGTTGGCGTGCAGGCTCAGTGACGTCGCTGAGCTGGAGTGAGAGACGCGAGGTGAGCTTGAACTGCTACCATTACCGGCGGCGCCTGTTTGCGATGACGACGCGGAGGCTAGGAAATTCTACAGCACACGCGAACAAGAAGAGAGAAGAGACAAATCCAGCGAGAAAGTTCGAACGCAGCAAAGCTTAAAGCTACCATAGCACCCAAAAAACCGTGAGTGTTTTCCGTTTGCTGTATCCATATCACTCTATGCGCTGCACTTATTGCCAGTGCAGTGTGCGTATCAGGAAAGGTAATGGATTAGCTGGCAAAAGGGAAACCGTATTCCTACGTTCAACTCCTCCCCACAATAGCAGAGGATCGTGCATTATGTCATTTAGTTGCGCAATTACATCATCGCTTCGAGGTGTTTCGTATGGTCATGGTCACGCAATTACTGTGGAATCTCCATACATTGTAGGCTACCAGCACAAACAACACCATCACACGCACGAGCGCCACCGCCACCACTAGCACAAGCACCATGAGCACCAACAGCACCACCACCAGCATAACCAGCACCAATC